ATATATATATATATATATACACATACACACAGAAACACTCACAACATTACTTTTCAACACAAATTAAGTGAAGCAACTATACAAACCTTCTGTGTGATTAAACAGGGTACAGAAATCAAGTTTCACTATTTATAAATAATGTTCTAAGTTAAAAAGATGTTGCAATTTCCAAAAGTCATAGCTTCCACTTTGTGTATGACTTTATGATAATTCTAGCCAATATTAAAATAAGGGAAAAGCAGATTTAATGTACCATCCACACAAACTTAAACTGCATATCCCCACAAACATAACAAGTGCTTAACTATGGAAGTAACTAAACTAAAAATTTTTTGAACTCTAACAGCTTTCCAACAGTTCTGTCCTATGCAAATGACTTACAAAGTCTCAGGCAGGCCCCAGGAAGTAGGTCACAAGAAACTATACTTAAAGATTCAGTCTACTCCCCAGTAGTAAATCACAGGAAATACTTAGTACCAAAGTAGTCTCTCCTCAGTCCTAAAACAATTACGTTTTGGTCATTTGCATTGGAGAAATAGAGTTTCTTTTTTTTACATTAAAAGTTGTAAAAATTTGTTTTATGGATCTTACAACAGCAGTCTTTCAGATCTGAGAGTGAAACTTGGTTTTAACAAGAAACTCATTTTTATGAAAACTATAACCAAAAGATTAGATGTGAGTTAGAACAGTTTAAGTTGTTTCTTTTCTTCTTAAAATACCCTTTTACTCAAACTGAAAATGCACTTGCTGGAATCTGGCTTAAACCAACTGATTCAGATTACACCTGAAGACTTTTTATTCATTTGAGAATGGCAGCTTCCTCCTTCCCAAAGCCCCACAAGGCTCCTACTGGCCCTCTAATTCTGGACAGATAATTCCTAAACACAGAGTAGGTCTTGGAGCTCTAATAACGAAATAAAATTGTAAGTTTTTTTTTTTTTAAAAAAAAGGACTTAATGTAATTTAAGAGGCACAACTAAAAATAGTCCCAAAATATTGCCTTTCTCTATCCTTAAAGAAAGGCACTTAAGTAAGCTTAAGTAGATTGTATTCATTTCCAAGGAGTAAAAGGATGAAGTACACACTGTACTTTGAATGCCCAAAAAAAGGTGGGTTTTTTTTTTAATGGCAAATACTCTATAATAAATCGCTCAAGTAGTACTGGTAGGTGAGCAAGTAAGTCAAGTACTTAAATTCAAACGTTAAGGAAAATTGGATTTGGCTGACAATCCCGATTTTGTGATTTAAAAGAACTTGTACAGCCCTTGAAGTGAGGAGGAACTTTCCCTTTTTCTAACGTTTGCTGAAATGGCATGTAGTACCTATTAATAAGGTTTACGGTAAGTGATACTTTCATTCCAAAACATTTTGTAAAAAAAACAAATCCTGGCTGCTTCTCCAGGAACTTCAACATGATGTATATAACGTGACCGTTTTGACAGTTGCATAAAGCATCTTTAGTGTTAACAATTGCACGGTAAAGACCAATTCTTACTATGCTGGAAAATCAAGTGAAGAAAGGAGAAGGAGTTTGATTCAGCCTTTACATCCAATTTTCCACCTGTGACAGCGAGAAACTGTCAGGTTTCTAAGGCTGAACAGTGAATGGACCAGAAGGAAACCCACCTCAGAGATGGACCTCAAAGCCTGTTCTACCTGGGGTAGGAATGCACCTGCCACGGCTTTGAGTCCTCTATGTCTCTCTCTCTCTCTCTCTGAAAATGGCAAAAAGGAGCCAGGGATGCCATCCTCTACAATCTCCCATCTAGCTGGAAGGTCCCACGCGTTTCACTGGTGCGCACTTCACTCCGACTCCCTCAAAACGCTGTCAGAGAGAAAACCCTTCTTTGCCCCTCACCTGCACCTCCACGCTCGACAGACACTGACGAGGGCAAGAGACAAGATAAACACATTTCCAACCCTGGTAACTCCAGGCAGCCTCTCTGTGCTTAATTAAGGGGCTCGGGCTTGGGGCGCGGCCAAATCTGGCATCACCTTCCTGCCTGGAAAGTGCTAGCCCCACGGTCATCTCACAGACCGCGCACGGGCCGGACGCGCTGGCCCTTTAAAGGCGCCGCTTCCTGCGCCCGCTGCCCCTCCCTCGCCGCCAGCTCCCGCCCCTCCGAGGGTCACACTTGAACTTTAGCTCGCGCGCTCGGCCAGCACTCCACAAGCAGTGGCCACCTCTTCGCACGTGTCAGATGCGCCACCTCGGGCTCGGAGTGTCAGGCCCCTAGCACTCGAAGCCACTTTTGATAAAATCAAAACACAAGTGCGCAGCGACAGACAAAAACTAAGCGGCCGTCTCGCACCCTCCACACCCCCTCCACCTGCGGCCCGACATTAGGCGGCGGGGCCCCCGCGCCCCTTGCCGCACCTCCTCAACCGAACACGGCGGAAACCGCTGGGGTTACGCGCCCCGCGTAGGCGGAGGAGCCGCCCTCACCCCAAGGTCCGCGAGGGATGGGAGCCACCCGCAGAGTCCACACCGGCCGTGGGGGCGCAGGTTCAGTGGAACCTTCCTCTGTTTTTACTTTCGAACTTCTCAACCAGGGCTGACGTCCATTTCTCGGCGTATTTTCTTCACTGCCTTAGTTCCAACAGGCTCCTTCCCTCTCCTTTTCGATCTCTTTACACGCCCGCGCACACGACCCACGTCGGCCACTTCTCCCGGTTCCCGCCTGCACGCGCTGCCCCGCACTTTTAGGGAAGGCAAACCTTGCACAGGTGCCCCCTCAATTGCCCATCACGACACGGACAGATGCCGGGAGTCCCCACACCCGGCCCGCTCACCTTCCAACCCGCGGAGCTATTGCTGTCGCCCTTATCCTTGAAGTAGGGCACGCTCTTGACCATCCACTCGTAGATCTGCGACAACGTGAGCCGCTTCTCGGCCGAACTCTCGATGGCCTTGGTGATGAGATCGGCGTAAGACAGGTTGCCCCACGCGTTGCGGCGGGACGAGCTGCTCTTGCGAGGCTGCCCCGCGAGCGGCCCGGCGGCAGCAGGGGGTACAGGCGGGTGCTGCGGCAGCGGCCCGGGTGCCGCAGGCTGCGGCGGTGCCGGGTGCAGGCAACTGGTCTCCGGACCCTGGAAGTCCCCACATAGTCCCCCAGTGGCGGCAGCGGCTGCTGCCGCCACCGCCGCCGCCGCAGCAGCCGCCGCCGCCACCGAGCCGGGCGCGGGCGGGAAATCATCGCTCTCCTCCAGCAGACTCAGGTTGTTCATGAAGTCAGCGCTGACAGCAGCCGCCGAGCCCGAGGACAGGCCCGCCGCGGCGTCGAGATTGGCGGCCCCGCCGCCCGACGGTGCCGGGCTGGAAGTAGCCGAGTTGGACTGGCTAAACTCTGGCCTGGGCAGCGGCCAGGTGCACGAGCGGGGCCGCGGTAGCGGCTCGAAGTCCGGGTCGATCTCCACCACCTGGGGCGCTTCGGCCATGGTGACCCCTGCCCCTCCCCCGCCGCAAGAAAGCGAAGAAGGGGAGAGCGCAGCACCGGGTGGCGGCGGGGGAGGGGAGCCAAAAGCCGGTCCGAGATTTGGTCGCTGCCGGGAGCGGACGGAAGGGAGGCAGGAACGCGGAGGGGAAGGAAACGCGAGCCCAGAACTTAACTTCGTGGGTCCATCAACACCAAGCTTCTCTCGGTCCGCTGCACGGACGGGACGGCAGGCCAGAGCTGCCGGGCAGTGCGAGTGCCTGCTGACAGGGCCCACGGACGGAAGCACGGTCGGATGAACGCCGCGGACAGTTTGCGCTCGCTCCCCAGCTGCGCGACCGCGGCGCAGCTGCCTGTTGAATGTGGCGGCAGCGGCGGCTGCAGCGACTACGCGGCCGCCCGACTTACGGGATCTGCCGCCGCCCCCCGCCTGCAGCCGCGCGCGCGCCGGCCCGCCCCTGACTGGCAGCTGACGCGGCCAATGGGCACGCGGTGCCGCCACCTGGGCAGCCAATGAGCGCCGGCCTGGGCGGAGACCAGTTCCACGGGGAGGCGACTGTAGGTTGGTGGGGGGTAATGGGGTGTTTTTCTCTTTCACACACTCACTTTTTTTTTTTTTTTTTAATCTCTGTTATTATTTTCTGGTAGTTCTCGAGTGTGTCTGCGAGTCACTCGCCCTCTCAGTGTTTTGATTCCTAGGAGGCACACCAGCGTGGAGGCGGCGGCGACACTTTGTTTACTACGGAGAGCAGAGCCGAGTACTCGGCGAGTCTGAGTGGGGCGACTGCTTGCTCCACCCGACCTCCGCGCGGAGCCCCAACCCGGCGGGCAGGCGAGCGGGCGAGGGCCGGGGCGCGGGCTACAAGGGTGGAGGCGGCCTCGCAAAAATTCTGCTCACTCGCCCCCTCTCAGCTCCACCCACGATTTCTTTGCACAGGGATGTGGGGAAGGTGGTGAGGTTTTTGTTTTTTTTTTTTTCACGTTTTCATCCCAGCGATCTGTCAAGTCTTTGGGCCCCCGCGCGGACGACACACGCCCCCGGGTGCTGGGGCTTGGCTGCCAACTTCACACTGAGAGCGCCCTCGCCGACGCCTCCGCGTTGGGACCGACCACCTGTGAGAAGCTACACGCAGTCCGTGTAGCCCAGGGTCAGTCAGTCACCCAGTCCACAGCCACCGGCCTTAACCACTCCATTCTTAACTCAAACAGCTAAAAATGAGGGAAAAAATTCTTATTCCACAGGGCCACTTCTTTCCCTGGGTGAGAACCTCAGACTGCCCATCGTGTTCAGGGTAGGACGGAGAAAGTGGTCAAGTAGAACATTTAGCAAAGAACCTTGTCACTAAATTACTGGCCCCTAAATAATTTTAACTGTTTAAATGTTCTTTTCTCTGTGTAGAACATAAGGGAAGTGGTGTTGAGTAAAAAACGCCAACGGGATAGAACCAAAGCCTTGGGCCACAGTCCTGCTCCACCAAGTTCCTTTAGGCTGCTAGCCGCGTGCGTCAGTCAGCCCCGCCCCCACCCACCCGACCTTCCCCGATTTGGGCTCCAGGTCCAGGACGTCCTGTAGAGGACCTGTGGGCCAAAGGTAGGAAGACAATGGCCTTTGTGTCTCAGAGAACAGGAAAAACAGTTTTCTCTTCAAGATTTTTCTTTCTCCTTTTTTTGCAAGGATATGGAAACCATTTCCTTTGAGAGGGTTGGGATCACTGAGGATGGAGGATAGCAGAGTTTTAAATATCTTGTCCAAAATGACAGCTTCCAATTCTAAAACAATCCCATATCTTTCTTAAGGCAATTCTTCATTTGAGAAAGTGGCATCTGAAAAAAATATAAATAGGCCTCTTTTACAAAAGTTTTCAAAATTTAATGTAAATATAACATTTATACCTTTTTTTTGCATTCTCACTATCATTCCCCTAGTTAAGAACCTTATTTCTTCCTAACCCATTTATCACAACAGTTTCCTACTGATATTGGGGGGGGGGGCGAGGTAAGAAGTGAAAGAGATGAATTGAGTTTTGGAGTTGGTCCCCACCTTCTTGTGGTCTCTACGTTTTACTATCCAATGTGGACGGCTTGGGCCTCTCCTGCCAGCCACTAGAGGACCTCAGTAACCCAGATGATGAGCTCAAACAAACGCTGCGAGGTGGAACTGTTGCTACCCGTCCCCACCCCCACCCCACGTTTTCCATTTAGACTCTACAGAGATCGCTTGATTCTACAACCATACCCTACTAGTAAATGATGCCGTAGTAGATCATTCTTGGCATATTTGACCTGGCTTTCATTTCAGTTCTGGGTTTCTCGGCCTTGGCCTTTGGTTAAGAGTTTTCCTGCAGACTCCTGCACTTGCCCTTGAACCATGAAATCTGCCCTATCTTGCCTAATATTTTTCTTTAAGTATCATAGCCTGTTTTTGTTTGGTAAAAATAAAATAAAACTTGAAGCCGGCACAGAGAACCTACAGCGACAATGTCGCTCGCACATAATTCAAACAAACGCTTTATATGAGAATGAAGGTTTTTTATAGCTGGCCTACTATTCCATTATTTGTGAGTAACATTTTACTTAACCATCCCATATCAGTGAATATCTGGTTTGTTTCCAGTCTTTAGCTGTCATGAATAACTCTATAATGAGTAACCTTATGCAACTGTCATTTTTCATCTGTGCAAGTATATCCGTAGGAGAAATTTCCAAAAATGGGATCACTGGGTCAGCAGGTAGATGCATTTGTGATTTTGAGCGGCACTGCCAAATTACCCTCCAGAAGGGCAAATTTTCAAGCTAAATTTTCTTTTCAGAGAGACTCACAGATCATTAAAGTTGAAAGTAAACTTGGAGATCATCTTAGGGGCCTTTTCATTTAAATAGGGATACTGAAGCACCAAGGGGGGGGGGGAAACACTGCCATCAGATTGATTCTGACTCATAGCGACTCCATTGGGTTTCCAGGACTCTAAATCTTTACAGAAGTAGATTGCCTTATCTTCCTCCCACAGAGCAGCTGGTGGATTTGAACCACTGACCTGGTTAGCAGTCAAATGCCTTGTCCCGTATATCACCAAAACTCCTTATACTGAAGCACTGAAACCACACAGAGGAGGCTGAATAATGCACCAAAGAGCACACAATAAGAGAGTGATGCCAGGGATGGTGCTCCTATTTCTTACTTTCCTATCAATAATCTTCTTGAAACACAAGATGAATTCTTCTAACATCAGAGAATATTTCCAGTAACTTTTTTTTTTTTTTTTTTGGGAGATTTTTATCATGATTTGTGTGGAAGTTTACAGAGCAAATTCAATTTTTTTTTTTTTTTTTTAGGGAGTGGGCAGGGGGACAATAGCAATAATACATGCTCACTGTAACTAATTCAGAAAAATCCATAAAGGTATAAAGAAAATTATAAAGATCCTATAATCCCAACATAGAGATAACCACTCTAACATAGTCATCTATTTCCTTCCTGTTAACCCCACAGAATCTCAGTAATTTTAGTTAGATGAACTCCAGCAAACTGAATGAAGTTTTGATCTAAAAGATTAAGAAAGCAAACACAGAACTATAATAGTAAGATAATGAAAGAAAGGTTACAAAAGAAGTGGTTTTTTTTTTTAAGTCAAAAAATGTAAATGTTCTCTCCCTCTCTCTCTCTCTGAAGGATACCAAAGTATTTAAGTTGGCATTAGTTCTGCTTTAGAGATGAGGGTTCATTTCATTTCTCTTTCAGTATTTTTTGTGGTTGATGTTTGTTTACTTTGAAGTCTTTTTCTAATGATTATCATGTATTGGATGGTGCTTGTGGCCAAACTGGGAAGAAAAAATGTTTCCTGTCAAGTAAGGACAATTAAAATGAAGAACTTTAGCCTCACAAAGCCCATCTCACAAACAAATGTACTGTTGTTTTTTATGCTTGGTAACTATTTCATGGGAGCTCTAGTGGCCTAGTGCCTAAGGCATAAAACTGCTAACCAGAAGGCTGGAGGTTCAAACCTACCACCCACTTCTTGGAAGGAAGATTGGGCGATCTACTTCCATGGAGAAACCCAAGGAGGGGTCGCTATGAGTCAGATCCCACTCGAGGGCAGTGAGTTTGGTTTTGGTTTTAACTATTTCATCATCCTCAACAGGAAGAGGAGGATCGCTCCCTTTGATCAATTCCCAGGCAGAAACGTCTGCATTTACCCCTCACCATCGATACACCGATCTCTGGTTTAAATTCATAATTGTTGAAGCAGGTAATTTAAGTCCAGCTTAATGACTAAGTAAAAACTTGACTGCTTACTTTTCAGTTGTGGAGCTTATCTTCATACCTCACATTTCCTTTCCCCAACAACTGTTCATTTCCAGTACTTTGTCTGAATTATTACGAGGTACTGCCATCAACATAAAGCAGCCTTTCTTCAATTTGTCCATAGAAAGCAATAATCTGAACAAGCACAGCCTTGTTCATAAACCAATGACCTGAATGCTGACATATTAACTGTAGCTGTAATAGTATTTCATTTTACTTGAAAGATAATTTTCTTTGGATTTTGCCATTCATTCGTTCACTGGGTTACTACATGCTAGGCACTGTGCATTTCAGAGTCTGTTGTTTTGATGGAAAGTTCCTTGAGGTCATAAATGGTTTATTTTCTTTTCTTTGATATGATATTTGATGTCAGTGCAAAGAATGTGTAGCTCTTTAATAATAATCAACATTACATATAGACAATATTTATTTGGAGGAATTACCCACACACACAAATGTTTGATGAACTTAGAAATGCTAAGGCATAAAAAAATGAAACATTACCATAGGCACTATTTAGAAGAAAAATAATGAGATGGCTAACATTAGGGAAATGGTTAAGTAAGTTATGGCATATCTGTAAGGTAAGATCTTATTCAGCCATTTAAAATAAAGTTGTTGACAAAGAGTTTATAATGACATTAGAGAAATGCTGGTAATAAAATGCTTAAAAGGTTGGAAGATACTATGTCAGTTAAAAATATTAGCAATGGTTGGATCTGGGTGAATGGATTTGTAGGTGGTGGTTATTCATCTAGCCCAACCCCTCATTTTACAGGTAAGAAAATAGCCCACACAGAGAATTTAAGTGATTTGTCCAAGGCTGTATTGTTAGTGAAGACTCAAATTCACTACCATCAAGTCAATCCTTATGACTCAAAGCGACCCTCATTGGGTTTGCAAAGCAGTAAATCTTTAAGGAAGTAGATTACCCCAACTTCTTTCTGTGGAAGGATTGGTGGGTTTGAACCACCAACCTTCTCATTAGCAGTCAAATGCCTTAGGCACTGCATCACCAGAGCTTCTTTATTGTTAGTGAAGGACTGCCAAACTC